TACAAGAATAATGATACAATTCCAAGGCAAGATACTATTCCTTTAACTTCCAATTACCGAGGGAACCAATTAATATTGATTTTATTCAACTTATCGAGTATTTTTCAAGGGACCGGGAAAAAATGTTCACTTTATCGAGAGATTCGTTAAACAAACCTTTACTCGGGTAAAACCCGGGCGAAGCCGGGTACATCCATACAAGAATAATGATACAATTCCAAGGCAAGATACTATTCCTTTAACTTCCAATTACCGAGGGAACCAATTAATATTGATTTTATTCAACTTATCGAGTATTTTTCAAGGGACCGGGAAAAAAATGTTCACTTTATCGAGAGATTCGTTAGACAAACTTTTACTCGGGTACGTCCGCTAGTCTATATATATAAAATTGAATGTCTGTGTGTCTGTCTGTCTGTGTTTGTGTGTGTCCTCTATGGATTCGAAAACCATACATCCAATCGCCGTGAAATTTCGGGATATTATTAGGCATATCCCCGGAAAGGTTTACGAAAAATAATATCTTGAATATCTTTAATATCCTTAGAGTTATTTGCAGATTTGTAGCTTTAACTCGCAAGCAGCGCCACCATTGAGACGGAGATAGGCTTTTTCAAGAGGGGGAGTAATGTTAGGAGAGAGGAGCGCGTCTCGAGGCGGGTGCTCACGTGTCACTGTTAAAAACCTATTTGTTTTGGCTACATCTTTTCCCGTGGACTTAACGATAACTTTTCTAAAACTTATATCAAATTTCATGTATAATTATTTTTACATCATTTAGTTTAGTATAATTATTTACTATAATTTCCTATCGTTCAATTATTATTTTTTGTTCTTAAAGATTATTTAAGACAATAATCTTTAATTAGAAAGTGCTTTGCCAAAAGTTTGGAGTGGGGCAGACCCCGTGCGAGAATGGATTCGCCCGGCCGCCGGCCGACAGTCAAAGTACCCACAGACCAATCAGGGCAGAGTTGGCAACACAGCTATGCCAAGTAGACAAGAAAAAAGCCTCGCGGGAGCTTGCCCAAGATGACCTCCGGGAACTTCGTCCATCTTCCATAAACGACCATGAATTTATTCAACCTTATCGAGTATTTTTCAAGGGACCGGGAAAAAATGCTCACTAGATAAAACGATGATTTTGTAATGTAGAAAATTAGGAAAGACAAAATTCAGGATGACACGGCACACAGGGACCGGGAAAAAATAATCACTTTATCGAGAGATTCACGAACATGATTTTATTCAACTTATCGAGTATTTTTCAAGGGACCGGGAAAATATGTTCACTAGATAAAACGATGATTTTGTAATGTAGAAATTTATGAAAGACAAAATTCAGGATGACACGGCACACAGGGACCGGGAAAAAATAATCACTTTATCGAGAGATTCACGACCATGATTTTATTCAACTTATCGAGTATTTTTCAAGGGACCGGGAAAATATGTTCACTAGATAAAACGATGATTTTGTAATGTAGAAAATTATGAAAGACAAAATTCAGGATGACACGGCACACAGGGACCGGGAAAAAATGTTCACTTTATCGAGAGATTCAAATTTACGAGTTTCAAATTATCAAAATATATCTTTTTTTTTAAGTTTATAGAGAATTGTTTTAACAAATGTTCGTTAGACAAACCTTTACTCGGGTAAAACCTCGGGCGAAGCCGGGTACGTCCGCTAGTATATATATAAAACAAAAGGATTTAAAAACGCGAATGTTTCCCCTATACATAAAACGAACTTCTACTGTCCTTACTGCGATGAAAAAATATATTGGGAGGGCTTGGATCATCAGTGGTGAACCCTCCCAGCGGTTTCGCCAATTTAATCCACCAGACCGCTTCTCAGAGCTCTATACTGTATTGGATCATTCTGCTTTTATATGCTACACTGAAGGATGGAAATATAATTTCTATGTTCTGCTTAAATGACACATAACTACCGAGGTAAATGCGTGAACTTGTTATAACCGTATATTGTTACATAAAAAATTAAAACCTTTTTGATAGTCAAATAATAATATTTTATAATTTGTTTTTAATTATCATTAATTTACAGCTATCTTTCATATAATTTATATTTAATTCTATTTATATACATACATATATATATATATATGAGTGTGTGTGTTAAAAAGTCAAACAATATCGGGATATATTAATTTCAATACTTTTTAAAAGTGATGAAAGTGTTGTTATATTGAAAGGTTTAAAATAGTGTTATTATATATATGTAGTGTACAAAAATTAAATTTACTGAATTAGTAGACAGTGATTAATATATAAACCCTCAACAAAATATGAATTGTTTATAAAGTGTAAAAAGTTGGCATCAAAGTGTATAATGTTCCTATTAAAATGTTTTGAATTATACCAAAGTAGAACGTCCTTATTGAAAAGGTAAATTATCATTAAAGTATAAAATGTTTTAAAATGTATAATTAACACAAAGCAATAACGCGCCATCTATACATATAAAATGAAAGGATTTAAAAGCATGAATGTTTCTTTTATAAAGAGATGATCTTGGTTTGTGTCTTCTGCTCGAATGAATGTTATTATGTTAGAAATTTTTCCTGCACACTAAAAATGAACTGGCTTCACCCGTGGTCTCAGCTTTTTGGAATTTTTCCCGATATAATTTTGTATCTGTACCTTTTAGCATGTATATCGGGATTCAGACAATAACTCTGAAAGATACACTCATGGACAAAACTTAAGAAAGTTGTACCATTTAGCATGTATATCGGGATTCAGACAATAACTCTGAAAGATACACTCATGGACAAAACTTAAGAAAGTTGTACCATTTAGCATGTATATCGGGATTCAGACAATAACTCTGAAAGATACACTCATGGACAAAACTTACGGAAGTTGTACCTTTTAGCATGTATATCGGTATTCAGAAAATATCACTGAAAGATACACTCATGGACAAAACTTAAGGAAGTTGTACCTTTCAGCATGTATATCGGGATTCAGACAATAACTCTGAAAGATACACTCATGGACAAAACTTAAGGAAGTTGTACTTTTTACCATGTATATCGGGATTCAGACAATAACTCTGAAAGATACACTCATGGACAAAACTTAAGGAAGTTGTACCTTTTAGCATGTATATCGGGATTCAGACAATAACTCTGAAAGATACACTCATGGACAAAACTTAAGAAAGTTGTACCTTTTAGCATGTATATCGGGATTCAGACAATAATTCTGAAAGATACACTCATGGACAAAACTTAAGGTAGTTGTACCTTTTAGTATATATATCGGGATTCAGACAATAATTCTGAAAGATACATTCATGGACAAAACTTAAGGAAGTTGTACCTTTTAGCATGTATATCGGGATTCAGACAATAACTCTGAAAGATACACTCATGGACAAAACTTAAGAAAGTTGTACCTTTTAGCATGTATATCGGGATTCAGACAATAACTCTGAAAGATACACTCATGGACAAAACTTAAGGTAGTTGTACCTTTTAGTATATATATCGGGATTCAGACAATAATTCTGAAAGATACATTCATGGACAAAACTTAAGGAAGTTGTACCTTTTACCATGTATATCGGGATTCAGACAATAATTCTGAAAGATACATTCATGGACAAAACTTAAGGAAGTTGTACCTTTTAGCATGTATATCGGGATTCAGACAATAACTCTGAAAGATACACTCATGAACAAAAGTTAAGGTAGTTGTACCTTTTAGTATGTATATCGGGATTCAGACAATAATTCTGAAAGATACACTCATGGACAAAACTTAAGGAAGTTGTACCTTTTAGTATGTATATCGGGATTCAGACAATAATTCTGAAAGATACATTCATGGACAACACTTAAGGAAGTTGTACCTTTTTGCATGTATATCGGGATTCAGACAATAACTCTGAAAGATACACTTATAGACAAAACTTAAGGAGGTTGTACCTTTTAGCATGTATATCGGGATTCAGACAATAACTCTGAAAGATATACTCATGAACAAAACTTAAGGAAGTTGTACCTTTCAGCATGTATATCGGGATTCAGACAATAACTCTGAAAGATACACTCATTGACAAAACTTAAGGAAGTTGTACCTTTTAGCATGTATATCGGGATTCAGACAATAACTCTGAAAGATATACTCATGGACAAAACTTAAGGAAGTTGTACCTTTTAGCATGTATATCGGGATTCAGACAATAACTCTGAAAGATATACTCATGGACAAAACTTAAGGAAGTTGTACCTTTCAGCATGTATATCGGGATTCAGACAATAACTCTGAAAGATACACTCATTGACAAAACTTAAGGAAGTTGTACCTTTTAGCATGTATATCGGGATTCAGACAATAACTCTGAAAGATATACTCATGGACAAAACTGAAGGAAGTTGTACATTTCAGCATGTATATCGGGATTCAGACAATAACTCTGAAAGATACACTCATGGACAAAACTTAAGGAAGTTGTACCTTTTACCATGTGTATCGGGATTCAGACAATAACTCTGAAAGATACACTCATGGACAAAACTTAAGGAAGTTGTACCTTTCCGCATGTATATCGGGATTCAGACAATAACTCTGAAAGATATACTCATAGGCAACATTTAAGGAAGTTGTACCTTTTTGCATGTATATCGGGATTAAGGGAATAACTCTGAAAGATACACTCATGGACAAAACTTAAGGAAGTTGTACCTTTTAGTATGTATATCGGGATTCAGACAATAACTCTGAAAGATACACTTATAGAAAAAACTTAAGGAAGTTGTACCTTTTAGCATGTATATCGGGATTCAGACAATAGCTCTGAAAGATACACTCATAGACAAAACTTAAGGAAGTTGTACCTTTTAGCATGTATATCGGTATTCAGAAAATATCACTGAAAGATATTACAGTGACCTATATCGTGAACACACGAGATAACCTAATGTGAACAAAATTGAATCTTTCTTCTGAAAAAAAAAATATATATATATAGTCGACCAGGAATCGAACCCGGGCCACCCGCGTGGCATTCTACCACTGAACCACCGATGCTTATAAGAAATGGCCACATTTGGGTATTTATTCCATTCACAAAAGCAAACGAAGACAGAATTGATTGTTGATGACTCTGATACTTGTATATATAATTTCTCTCCCAATCAGAATATTATTGATCTAACCCTTTCAAAATATGTTTGTAAAATTAAATCTTAATTTTAAATATCTTTAATTTCTACTAGGTTTCAACACTTTGGACTTTTTATTTCGAATTTCTGAGATTATACTCTTCAGTGTAGCATATATAATCGCCCAATAAAGTATTAGAAATCCAAAAAGCCGTTTTTAGATTAAATTGTCGTAACCGCTGGGAGGGTTCACCACTGATTAACCAAGCCCTCCCAATATTTTATTTTCATCGCAGTAAGGACAGTAGAAGTTTGATTTGTAAGAAAAAACATTCGTGTCTAAATGTTTTCAATTCCTATGTATAGATGGTGCTTTAGTGCTTTATATAATCGCTAGTAACACATGGTACACAGGACATAATATTCATGGTGGATAGTAGTTAGTGGCTGTTTTCACTGTAGGTACCCACTATCCAATGGTGTAGGTGCACCACATGTCTACACACGTGGAAAGATGTTCGACTTTTGAACTTACAACAGAGCCAGAACCCCTTTTGGTTACTTGAACTTACTGGTTAGATTGGAATTCTGCCAGAATCGGGGCCCATAAAGCAATTTCTCTCTTCAGAAAAAAAAGTGTCTGATGTGGGATTCTATCCTTGGTCGTTGCTCTCGGAATTCGACGATTAATACACTCTTCCATTAACCTCCTCTCTATGGATATAAACAAATGGAAGATTGGCCCCCATTGGTCGGTATGGAAATAAACAAATGGAAGATTGGCTCCCATTGGTCGGTATGGGTATAAACAAATGGAAGATTGGCTCCCATTGGTCGGTATGGATATAAACAAATGGAAGATTGGTTCCCATTGGTCGGTATGGATATAAATAAATGGAAGATTGGCTCCCATTGGTCGCTATGGATATAAACAAATGGAAGATTGGCTCCCATTGGTCGCTATGGATATAAACAAATGGAAGATTGTCTCCCATTTGTCGGTATGGATATAAACAAATAAAAGATTGGCTCCCATTGGTCGATATGGATATAAACAAATGAAACATTGGCTCCCATTGGTCGGTATGGGTATACACAAATGAAAGATTGGCTCCCATTGGTCGGTATGGATATGAACAAATGGAAGATTGGCTCCCATTGGTCGGTATGAATATAAACAAATGAAAGATTGGCTCCCATTGGTCGATATGGATATAAACAAATGAAAGATTGGCTCCCATTGGTCGGTATTGATATAAACAAATGGAAGATTGACTCCCATTGGTCGGTATGGATAAAAACAAATGGAAGATTGGCTCCCATTGGTCGGTATGGATAAAAACAAATGGAAGATTGGCTCCCATTGGTCGGTATGGATGTAAACAAATGAAAGATTGGCTCCCATTGGTCGGTATGGATATAAAAAAAATGGAAGATTGGCTCCCATTGGTCGCTATGGATATAAACAAATGGAAGATTGGATCCCATTGGTCGGTATGGATATAAACAAATGAAAGATTGGTTCCCATTGGTCGGTATGGGTATAAACAAATGAAAGATTGGCTCCTATTGGTCGATATGGATATAAAAATAATGAATGATTGGCTCCCATTGGTCGGTATGGATATAAACAAATGGAAGATTGGCTCCCATTGGTCGGTATGGATATAAACAAATGGATGATTGGCTCCCATTGGTCGATATGGATATAAACAAATGGAAGATTGGCTCCCATTGGTAGGTATGGATATAAACAAATGGAAGATTGGCTCCCATTGGTCGGTATGGATATAAACAAATGTAAAACAGCCTCCCATTGGTCGCTATGGATATAAACAAATGGAAGATTGGCTCCCATTGGTCGATATGGAAGGAAGGATGAAAGATGATTGGTCAGAGCATTCCAGCCAGTTACTATACAATTAATGATGTTCTGAGAAATGGCTAGATATGGATTGGCCACTGTGGTTTCCTCTATATTTACCTACATATGCATCATAAGGCGTCATCTATATGTTATAAATTAAACTATTTAGCGCAAACCTTTCTTTTCCGAAAAAACAAAATTTATACCGTTCTTATTGCGATGAAAAATATTGAGAGGGCATGGCTCATCAGTGATGTATCCTCTTGGAAGTTTCGCCAATTTAACCCAACCAACCGCTGATTAACCAGGTCCTCCCAATATATTCAATCACAGTAAAGACAATAGAAAGTTTCGCTTATTCCAAAATTAAATTCGGGCTTAATAATGTAATTTCTTTTTTACATATAATATACAAAATTTACATATAGGTCACTAATATTGTTACTTATGTCACTAGAATATATTAATTAATTATAGACACTTTTAACTAAGCAAACGTTGCTTTTAATTTCACCACCTCCCCTCGAAAAAAAAAAAACAAAAAAAAAAAACAAGTAAGCTTTTGAGCAAAATACCTATTGTCGGGCATAAACCACTAATATGAAGCATTGTGAATCTTATATATGTAGTCAGGCTTGTTGGAGAACTTTGGTTTTTAAATTCGAATACCGCGTGAGAACGCCCTTGCAGCCTTAGAATAATTTCTAACGCTTTGCCTAATGTTTTAATTTTTGTTCGCTCCTGACGAGGACAAACGAATTTTGCCGAAACCTCGAGACAATAAAAAGATTTACTGGTCGAATTATCTTTTATTTGAAGGGAAATTCAAAAACTCATCTTCTGATTGTGTTACTAGAAGTTGATGATGGCTTGCTCCATCTGTCGGAATAGATATAAACGAATCGTCTTTTTATTATCATTCCAAAATTGGCCAAATTTATGGTTTTTCAAGATGTCCTAAAGACAAGCTTTTTTGGTCGTTGAGATACAGCTTGTACCACACTGACGAGAGTCAACAGGCGTAGTTGGTTAGCTTTTCTTGATTAACCAAGAAATGGTATTCATCCAATACTGGAATAATTGAAAAATCAACGATTGGTTGATATTTATTCCAATAGATGGAGCAAGCTATCAGCAACCTTTAATTGCACGATGAGGAAAAGTATGACGTCTTTGGTAGTCGTCTCAAAGTGACACCAGCTTGCCACCGGACAACCGGGGGATCCAGAGAGGGACAAAAAGGGCGTTGGTCCGGATGTTGAAAGTTAGTTAGGTTACAGTGGATATTTTCGGACAGGACCCGCTCAGTACTAGGTTCATTATCATCTCACGCCGGCCCTCGTGGCCGCCGTTTTGGCTCCTCTCTGCCCCCGCGGCTTCATGTAGGACGCCGAGCTTTCCTCAGTTAATCCTCAACTTTTCCCTGGTCCTGGTGCCACGTGAGACGTACTAGGAGAGCGTCTTTTGATCCCATACTTTGTCCTTACTGTCCCGTGCGGACTTCCCACTCTGCACGCCTTGCCACTCAACCCCGACTGCTTCCAACTCACTTGTTGTCTTACCCGGGTTTACGACATATCTATATAATTTTCTATGTTCTGCTTAAATGACGCGTAACGGCCGAGGTAAATGCGTGAACTGTTATAATCCTATATTGTTACATAAAAAATTAAAACCTTTTTGATAGTCAAATATTTATATTTTATAATTTGTTTTATTCATCATTAATTTATACAACTATCTTTCATATAAATTATATTTATTTCTACTTATATATATATGTGTGTGTGTGTGTTAAAAAGTCAAAAAATATCGGGATATATTAATTTCAATACTTTTTAAAAGTGATGAAAGTGTTGTTATATTGAAAGGTTTAAAATATTGTTATTATATATATGTAGTGTACAAAAATTCATTACTGATATATAGACTGGGATTAATATATAAACCCTCAACAAAATATGAATTGTTTATAGAGTGTAAAACGTTGGTGTCAAAGTGAATAATGTTCCTTTTAAAATGTTTTGAATTATACCAAAGTAGAACGTCCTTATTGAAAAGGTAAATTATTATTAAAGTATAAAATGTTTGAAAGTGTATAATTAACACAAAGCAATAACGCGCCATCTATACATATAAAATGAAAGGATTTAAAAGCACGAATGTTTCTTTTATACATAATACAAACTTCTACTGCCCTTACTGCGATGAAAAAATATATTGGGAGGGCTTGGCTCATCAGTGGTGAACCCTCCCAGCGGTTTCGCTAATTTATTCAACCAGACCGCTTCTCAGAGCTCTAATACTGTATTGGACGATTCTGCTTATATACGCAGCACTGAAGGATGGAATCTCAGAAATGGTTTTCAATAAAATTGCTTTGTGTGAATTTATGCCTAACTTGCTTTGTCTTTATTGTTTGCGGAAGAGCATTGCTCGATACAAATATTTGAATGTAAATCTACTGTCCTATAAGCTTATGTCCATAGTTTTCTTGAAAACCATTTCTGAGATTCCATCCTTCAGTGCTGCGTATATAAGCAGAATCGTCCAATACAGTATTAGAGCTCTGAGAAGCGGTCTGGTGGATTAAATTGGCGAAACCGCTTGGAGGGTTCACCACTGATGAGCCAAGCCCTCCCAATATATTTTTTCATCGCAGTAAGGGCAGTAGAAGTTTGTATTATGTATAAAATAAACATTCGTGCTTTTAAATCCTTTCATTTTAAAGTGTATAATGTTGTTATTAAAGAGTATGTATTTAAATTTGTATTAGACTTACAATTACATATTTATAATTATATGTATTTCTACTGTCCTCAAAGCTTATGTCCATATTTCCTCCAAAATACCATTTCCAAGAGGCCAGCGTCATTATCGGTATAAAAAGAAAGCCGAAAAATCCAATATAACAGCGGTATTTATTACCAGCTGCAAATAAGACACGCTTTATCCGATCTGGATAATTGCAGGGCGTGAAACTATTTACAATAATTGTTATAGAGTAGGTAACAGAATTGTCAAAAAGAAAATAAACAATTAAGAAAAGAGCATTAAAT